CCCTCGCCATTTTTTCGGACCAGTCCACGGTATAACCACGGAACTCTGTTTCTGCCAGGTTCATCTTCGTCCTCTCCATAAGGTTTTGGCATCCAAAGACGATTTCTATTTTCTAGTCCCACTTCAGTTAGGCGTCGGGATTATTCTTTCCGTAAAAAGGCAGAATCCGGAGCTTCAAACCACCTAGCTCGTTATCGGGTTGGCCTCGGGCTACGTCTGGTTCGTATCACTCTTGCCCAGGGTACTGGTCGTTGCGTTCGTGATATGGGTCATCCTGCGCACGATCATGGTACGGCTCGTGGTGCGGCCTGCGCCGATCCTCTCGGCCACGCCTGGGTTGAACTCTACTCCCACCCGATATATGGCCATCGGCATAAAACGGGTTATCAATCACCTCCTCTTGGTTGTGATCTCGTCTCAGATGGTTTGGTTCATTGCGGTTCTGGTTACTTCCTCCTTCCCCGTATGACTGTCTTGGCTGAACTTGAAGCCGCTCCATCCGCTGGTTTAACCGATTCATCAGCTCGGTTAACTGAGTTAGTTTTGTGTTCATGGTATCTCTGCGGTTGATCCACCGGATATGATCCCTTCACGTTCTGTGTAAAACGAGTATTCATCTTCGGTATAGTCAGAAGACATGCAAATACCTCGCAAAAAAAAACAGCAAACACGTTAGTAAATGACTCTCGGTATTTCTCTCGGTGTTTCTCTCAGCCCTCTTAATATCCTCACACACACTAGAGCCTCTCCTCGGTTCTAAAAGATCTAAATCAAAAAACTCGATTTACGCTTTCAACCAAACAGATTATCAAGTGAATTTGTTTTGTTTTTTTTTTTTTGAATCGACCAGATCTTCTTTTTGTTTTATTATTTTAACAACAAAAGAAAGAATAAGAAAAGGCGGAAATTAAAAAGATAAAATGGATAAATACTACCGAGATTTCAAGCGTGTGGCTCTGATACCTCTTGATATGAACTCCCAAAGATTGTCACACGCTTGATCCGGTGGAGTTTGATAAACCTTGACTTTAGATCGATCCGATAAGAAAGATGCTAAGGCGTGAGACATGTCCCGAATATCCTTAGACCCAATTGCAAAGAAAAGAATAAAACAAGGGGGTAGAAACAAAACAAAAAAGAGAGATCGCGGTAATGGATGTTATGGCGTGAGAAAGGTTGTTTCCCTAAAATCCCTAAGCCCCAATCAATACTACGACTAACCCAGATCAATCGTATGTGAAGTCTGCGTCAAACTCGGTGAAAAGAGCTTTATAAACCGAAAGATCTAATGGCTAACCATCAAGAAATTGATAAATTCCTGAAATAACAAAAGGGAGAACTCGAAAATTTTATTGATAAAAGATGTCTCTAAAATGACAAGTACAACGAGTTTATATAGAGGCATAGGTAGACCATCGGTCATGCTTAGGAAATTATAAAAAAAAAATAAAGTCAAAGAAACAATATAGAATTCAAAAACTATTTGGGCCGCCTTTAGCTGACTCTTCGCATACTCAGCCGAATATTGACTCTTGAACTCCCGACCCATGAACCCAGCACAGACTGAACCACGGTCGTAAGGATGGTACGGCCCTTAACCTCGTTAAAACCCCACCCGGTAAACCCATTGGGACAAATCCGGCTGCAAGGAGAAAGAGTATTAAGGAACCATACCTGACCGAGTTAGTAAGTACCTTGGTACGTAAGTAGGGTCTTAGGGCAGGCTGTTGGTTCTGTTCCTTGGTTCGAACCTTGGTTCCATACCTCGGTAAGCAACTTCCCGACGGTCCCCGCTAACTTCTTGGTACGTGATCAGGTCATTGGGCCGTTTGTTGGTACGGTAAAGGTTGTGTCTGGAACCTCGACTTCGTCCTGCGGTTCATGCTCCTTGACCCGTGATTCGTACTTTCGATCATGCTCTTAGTCCATGATCATATCAAGAGCTCTCGGACAGCTTTTCCATTCTCTCGTTTTCTGAAATTTTTCCTCCCTCCGATTTGCCACTTCGTAGTGTTTTCATTACTGTTTTCTGACTTGAGCGTCAGAGAGCCATCAGAAAACATCCTTCCATCGTATTTTTCCGGGCCTTCACGTGTTTGCTAGTTTTACAGGAGGACTGAAAATCCCCTAAACAGTTTGGCGTTAAAAGGAAGGGTGGGGGGGGAACATTTTCTAAGCGAAACTTCCCCACCCAAGTCAGAAAACGACCAATATCCCAGATCTGGGGGTAATGACCCAGATGCACGAACAGACACAATCCATGCAAGGGTTGGCAACAAACTGAATCTGAAAGAAGCCGAAGCGAAAAACCTCAGGTGCCGGGAGGGCATGACCAAGTTAAAAGAATATTGATCTGGCGCGTCTGACGACCCAAAGAATCTTAACCAAAAGGAGAACATCAAGGGGGTAGTATGAAAGAGTGACCCGGAGATAGCTGAGGACCAAGGAGAACAGCCAAACGATGACTCCCTTGAAGCTTATTCCACTGACGCATGGGTAACGCATCCTAACTCTGTACGAAATCTGGGTGGATAAGGTGAATCCACCTCGGAGGAACCAAAAATTAGCAAATCGTGGTGTGAGTACCACTGGTCAGGAGAGCACGAAACCAAGGATTGCTCAGCCCTTACCAAAGAGATTCTGTGTCACCGTTACTCTCGGAGAAGGCACAACGGATGCTAAACAAGCAAAATCTCGCTGGAGGAGTGTGTGAGCCAAAACTCGCACAACCAAAGATTTGTAAGGAAAAACTAAGGGATCCAAAATTTCTAGGGTAATCGCGAGAACCGTAAGATCAAAAGGGTTTTTTGCTTGAAAAGTGTTTAAGTCTTATTGCTCTCGAGTTGTTAAAAGTTACAGAATGAATTGCATACATTGTCTATTTATACTAACTTTCTAAACCGCCTAGCCGAGAAGCTCGGGAGAGATTTTAGGAATATTTCCTTATCGCTTCATGCGGCCACCGCCTCGAGGCATCGCCTAGGGTTTTTACGGGATTTCTTCCTTCAGGACCTCGGTTCGGCCCACTACGAAAGGTAACGGCTCGGCCCATCTTCACTGGTGTACGGCTCGGCCCATCTTCACTGGTGTATGGCTCGGCCCATCTTCACTGGTGTACGGCTCGACCCATCTTCTCTCATACGCGGCTCGCCCATTTCCTCCTCACGGCTCGGCCCACTTGAATTTGGCCTACTCCTCTCTTGCACGGCTCGGCTCATACTGAATGGATCGCTGGTTCTCCTTGCAATATCGGCTCTCCGATATTCCTGAGGTGGTTTAAATCGATTGGGGTGAAACCGACCCCAACAGTTAGTCCCCCAGCTCGTCAATTTCGGAAGTTAGAATGACGAGATTTATTATTCCTAGTTGCGGGATTAAACCATCGAGCTGAAAATGTGACGAGGTGATCACAGACGAGACGTATCGGGAACGAGATTGCCGAGCCGTTATGGAGGCAAGGTGACTGTCGTGAGGGGCATTGCCGAGCTGTTTTGGCGGAGGTGACGACGAGGCATTTTTTCGAGAGAGTTGCCGAGCCGTTTCGTGTTAACGACGAGGCGTTTATGTTAATAAATTTGCCGAGCCGTTTTGTGTTAACGACGAGGCGTGTTAAGATAAGAGATAATGCTGAGCCGTTTTGTTAACGACGAAGGGTGGCACAATCTGTGCTGTTTGATGAGATATCCTTAGGAAAAGGATTGTACGCGAGGCAACTTGTGAAAGTTATGCCGATCCGAATAAACGACGAGGTGTTTCGTGAAAGTTGTGCCGAGCCGAATAAACGACGAGGCGTTTTGTGAAAGTTATGCCGAGCCGAATAAACGACGAGGCGTTTTGAGGAAGTTATGCCAAGCCGAATAAACGACGAGGCGTTTTGAGGAAGTTGCCGAGCCGTTTCATGTTAGCGATGACGACGAGGCGTTTATGTCAATAAAGTTGGCGAGCCGTTTCGTGTTAACGACGAGGCATTTTGAGGAAGTTGCCGAGCCGTTTCATGTTAACGATAACGACGAGGCGTTTTGAGGAAGTCGCCGAGCCATTTCAACAGAGCATGGTTCGGTTCACACAGCTCGATGAGATATTCTCAGATAACCATAGCTGCGTTATGGGCTCCGTATACCTGGGCAACTTCATAAGGGAAACGTTTAGCAGTCGTTAGTTCTTTCCAAGACGTTTGGGTGTTGGCGTGTATGACGGACGCGCCAGGAAGTTATGCATTCGCCGCGGACTTCACGCGCCTTCATTTATTACCTTTGCGCCATCCCGAGCTCCTTCGTCTCTTCTCATAATCTTCAGATCTCTCATTTTCACTAAAAGGTAGCTCTCCCTTCCCTCTTCTTTCTCTCTCTAGTTTATTTATTTTCCGGCTAGGGTTCCGAGGTCTCCACCGTCTCAGATCTTTTTCCGGCGAACCTTGTTGTAAAACGCTGTAAATTTGATACGAGCTGTAAAATATGACGGGATCCTCCAAGGCATCTATTTCGCCGAGCCCTTCCAAAAATTCTGCCGAGGCTCACAATGTGTCGAATTCTCCGAGCCCTTCAGGCACTCGTTCCGTTAATAACGAGGTGTCTGCTTCGACGAGTCGTCATCAAGGTCCTGTCGACCAAGGGGAGGTTGATTACGCCGCGGTTAAGGCCAAGGAAGAAGTTTTTCCTTTCGATCCGGTTGAGGCGAGGCTCGAATTAGAGCGGCTTATGGCATCCCGAGGCACCTCTTCTTCTGGAAAAGGAAAACCTAAACAGGTAAAAAGGCAAAAACTCGATCCCCCCGGTTCTTCACTCTCTTCCCTCGAGTCGCTCGAAGCGTTGCGCCATCGTTTTAGAATATCCAAAGCGGTTGAATTTGTCGTTTCAGAGAAGAGTGACCGAGCCGACAAGCCTCTCGAAAACCAATTCACCTTATACGAGGCATTTTTCGAGCTCTGCTTCCTATGGTTCCCAATCCCCGGAGTTATCCTCGTATAATTGTGGGAGCATAAGATTTCGCTCGGGCAGATTATGTCGAGGGGTTTGCGACATATGATTGGCATTCTGGTTTGGAGCTTCGAATGCGGTGTCGACATCGAGCTCGGTCATCTGCTCAATCTGTTGGAAATCCAGAGAGCCCCGGGAGGAGGCAGATTTTATATTTTCAATAAGTCCAATCGCCGGATCATAGGCGGTTTCCCGAGCAAAGATCAGTTTTGGACTGAACGTTTCCTTTATGTTTCGGTGAACGAGGCGTCGGTGGGCGAGGATTTTGTAAATAAGACGAAGACCGTTTGGGGACCACTTGGTAGTCGATCTGAAGCCTTGTTTTGGCTCGGAGCTTGTTATGGTGCGATTTCCATCTTCTAACTTAGTCGTTTTGATGTTGTTTTGCAGTTCGGAGTTTTCTTCCTTCTGTTCCCGACAACTTTTTCTCTGTTCGAGATACTCTTGCGGCTCGGAAGGTTATCTGGAGAAAGCATTTTTCTTTCGAAAGATTAGAGAGAGCCCGAGCTATCTTTGCCGGGGTATCCATCAGTTCCTCTTCATCAAATTCATCAGGAGATACACGAGAGAAAATGGTGATCTTTACGCTCAGGGATAAGAAGCAACGCGGAGCCGAGGAGATTTCCAGGAGAGCCGAACGAGCAGCTCTTGCGGAGACCGAGGTGGTACCTCAGGATGATCTATTGAGGCATAAGGGGGACAAAGTCGCCCGAGCTGCTGATGAGATTACTCCCGAGGCGACGGCGCAGGAGGCGGCGCCCGAGGTGGAGCCGGGCGAGATCGTTCCCGACGCGTCTGGAGAAAATTCTGCGGCTCGGGACCAAACGGCACCTACCTCGACGATTCTGGCTCTTCCGAAACAATCGAGGCCTCCGGCTTCAGATCTGCTGAAGCATGATTCCAGCAGGAAGAGACCGGCTGCGGAAAAGGGCAAGGGCGCGGCCATCCAAAAGGACGAGCCATCCAAAAAGAAACGTAAATCGGCGCCCGGCGAGCCCGCATCTCGTAAGCTGGTAGTTGATGACCCGGCTGCGTCCGCGGTAATGTTTGCCCGCGTCAACAACGCCAACACCCGTCTTCTGCCCCCCGAGCAGTTGAGGCGGTCGAAATTCTATGCTGCCATGGCGCAGCGCGGTACCAAGGTACCTTTCTAATTCGCTTCTTCCTTGATTTTACGTAGTCTTTGAATCTAAGGAATCACCAATTTTGCAGTTTGTCGCGGCTATCAACGAGATGATGGCTGGCTATGAATCGGACTTGGTTAAGGACGAGCGCCGCTTAGAGGAGGCTCAGAAGGAGGCTGCGACGGCTAAGGGAAAGTTGGACGAGGCGAGGACTAAGATTAAGAAGCTTGAAGAAGAGAAAATAATTCTCCGTGCCAACGTTGACAAGGTGTCATCCGTGGTGACTCGTCTTGAAGAATCCAGGAGAGCCAAAGGCGCCGAGGTGGCTTTGTTGAAGAGGCGCATTGAAGCTAAAGATGCTTATTCCACGCTAAGGTGAAGCAGGCCGAGAAGGAGGTGAGGCGCGAGTTGACGGCTAAGTTTCAGGAGCGTCTTGCCAAAGTGGAGGAAGGTCTGGCCAAGCTGGAGAAGGCCAAGAGCGACGAAAACGAGCTTGGACAGATCGAAGGGAACCTTGCTATGATCGAGGAGCTTCGGAAGCCCGACAGATCTTTGGACTCTGAAGAGGAAAAGCTGAAGGCTTGGGAGGCTGAGTATGTCGACGACGACGCCTATGACCGCATTGCGTCTGAGATCCAAGGTGCCCTGGTGTTCTCGCCCGTGTCGCCAGATTCCATCGATACCCTTTTAGGTAACGAGCCGATCGAGGAGACGGCGGCTAACCTCGATGTCCAGGATCTGAACGGGTCTAACGCGGGTACTCCTGTTCCCTCGAGCCTCCTTGCTGAGCGAGAGACGCGTTCTGCCGCTTGATCTCTCTCTTCCGAACTCGCATGTTACTGTGATTGGTGCCTGGATGGCTTTATCCACCTGACTGTTGATTTGGCTATAGTTGTATTCATCTTTTTCCTTAGTCATTTTTTGTTGGATTTGATGTGTTTGTCCTTGATGACTTATGAATTTTTGACTAAAACTGTTTGTTTGAAGCGAGTTGTCATCGGTTGGTTTGTCGAGCTGGATCGCGAATGCTTTCGATTGCTTCCCTAGCCGAGCTCTGTATAAATCGATAGAAATACGGGCTAAGGGGCGAGTTGTTAAGGATTCTGTTTGGGTTTAAATCCCGAGCTGGGAGTTGATTCGTGGAGCGTCTTCGTTTTAGGTGGCTCTTGAAAGAAACTAAAGCTCCTTTGTGCCTTCCACCGTTAGTGCCAAGGCGTTTGAGTTAGGAAAGAGAGAAAAAGTGCGAGGCATTTCAGATCAGATTTGGTCTTTGGCCGTTTGAAGCGTTAAGTTTGGATCTCTTGTTGCCGAGTGATGCAAGCAAAAGCGGGGTTTGTTGGTTTTCGTTTTACTAAGCTTCAGGTTTTAAATTTATAACCCCTAGATGTCTGCAAGTGCACAGATGTGCCCTGTAGTACTTAGGGTATCGATCCACAGAGACTTAGTTGTTTCAGTACGAATTCACGGCTATGCTTAAATCAGACTAGAACTAAACAGGTTTTGGTTTTGGTTTTGGGTTTTGGTTGTCACTAAATCTAAACTAGAAGGCTAAGCAAGTAAAAGCAAATAAAAACGAAAGCAAGTGCAAGCAAGTAAAAATCGGCTATGAATGAAAGCAAGTAACAAGAGAATAAAAGCAGAATGGAAATCTAAGGTTGTAAGCAATGAAAGAAAAACGTTGGGGCTTAAGGGTTTTCACAGGGATTCATGGACTAAGCTATGTCGATTTTAAACAAGTGATAAAGGTAATCAACTACGTATGTTATAGAACTCGAGGCACGGAAGTATGAATAGCCTACTTTCGCAGCACTAAACAACTATCTCTCGCAACCCTAATCAGTAGGTTTCCACTCTGATTCTGGAAGGGAGAAGATGCAATAGCAGAACAAGACTCATCAACATTCACAACTCAACTACAGGTAGGTTTCCACTCCTATAGAAGATTTGCTCGTTTCACCCTAGTTCAAACAATCAATGAAAGCTTTCGCAACATATCATATCAGATCGGCTTCTAAGTGGCCAGCAAAGAATCACGCAGTAAGATTAAAGGCAAACGAAGAACATCTAGAAGATTATAAATCCTAAATCTATCGTTTCATAAGCAAAGACACATGAAATTCCCTTTGAAAATCCCTTTAAACCCAACTGGGTAACTACTCAAACATATTGTAAACAATCATCACAGAGTATTAAAAGTGCAGGAAATTAAAGAACAGAAGGAAGAAAAACGAAGAACGGAGAAGCAGATGGAGGCGCGATGTCTTCCTCCAGCGGCGGCTCCTCTTCGAAGACGGCGGCCTCTCTCTCTCTATGGTTTTGTGTGTCTCACGAAAATCTAAGTACAGAAAAGAACCCACCCTTTAGAATGACCTAAAGGAGGTATTTATAGCTTCTGGAGTGGCCCTGGACACTTGGGGCTTCAAAAATAACGAGAGGAATCGATCTGGGCTTTAAATAAGTCGTCGGGAAAGTGAACGACCAATGTCCGCGGTCGCGGTGGCTCTACCCGCGGGAAAATGGGTGTTGGCCGCGGTCCCGGCACATGCTCTCTTCCGGAACTGCATTTTCTGTCATTCTTGCATCGGGAATATCTGAAGATCTAACCGTTGGATTGTCTCCAAACCAAGTGCATTGGAAAGCTGGTTGGATCCTCTATGTTGTCTCAAATGTTGGGGGGTGATCAGACGGTGTGAAGGTCTTCATCGCTTGTCATACTTCTGACGGTCTGCATTTATCCAAAATTGCTCATTTGATCCAAATTGCATATCTTTTGCCCAAGTTTCCTGAAAAGTCTTTTGAAACTCTAAAATATTGAAAACACTTTAAAAACCATTGAAAACAGAGTTAAAACACCTGCATAAGACATAATTATGATCCATAAAAGTGGTCAAAATACGGTGTTATCAACTCTCCCAGACTTACCTTTTTGTTTGTCTTGAAACAAACTTAAGTCAGCAAAGAAATTTTTGAAAATCGCAGGAACTAAACAATATCTCAGTGACCGTCTTTCTAAACCATAACTTATCGTGAAACATCTATTTGGATCTAGTCTAGAAAATTCTCACCAAAATACAAGTAAAACTAGTCCGTTAATCCGTCATGCGAAATATCTACACACTTAGATCTAACTTCCAGTCAACTAGCTCCCTACATTCATTAAGTGTAATGGTGAATTCTCATCAAAGACAGTATTCAGGGTAGACGGCGTTTGGAATCAAAAGCTATTTAAGTGGTGGAGTTAAAGTGTTTCGGGTTACCTGAAGATCTGGAGGATGCAAGATATTATGCAAAACCGCAAGAGAGAGAAGAACCTGTTGGTGACCGCAGATTTTCAGTCACTTCTCCTTTGCTAATTGTTGCTGCATAATCTTCCTCCTTTGTTGTAAACAGCTGTTCTCCCAGACTTAGATCTTTTCCGGGAATCATAAAGATAATCTTCAAATCTCCATAGAATCGAATCAAGTTTGCCTCAAGTATAAAATTCAATCCTCCTAGACTCTCCAAGATTTTAATTTTCTCTCCCTTCATATTTTTTTTCTTTTCTTTTTGGTTTTTTTTTTTATCGAAAGAGGGAATAACGTTTTATAGAGAGAGTCTAAGGGACAAAATTGTACCAAGATTTTGAAGTTTTTCCAAGGCAAACTGAGTTTTCTCCTTTTGTTGAATCATTCCAATGAAATCGCAGGTCTTCATCTTCAGTGACTGAAAACTGCGTTGATCCTCTTTCTATCCGACGTTTTTGCACATATCTGCATATAAGACTACGAAAAACAAGAATGCATGTGGTTTGAAAGAGGTTAGGTTCGGTGGGGAACTAGCTAAAAGTGAACTAGCCATTCAGGATCAATTAAGAGTGGTAAAAGGGTAAAGGAGTCCTGAATGTATGATTCGTTTCCCTGATCTAACGCTTTAATGAGAAAATTAAGTCAAAATTAAGTCCAGATAAAATGAGCTAGTATATACTGTCAGAAAGAATCTCCATGAATAGAAGTCCTCTGGTGGGATTTCGTAATGCAAGTATTCTAGCTACCGCCTAGTCTAGGCCTAAATCACAAAAAAGCAAAAAAACGAGGAAATAGCGTAGAAGCACACTGGTCTAATTCATCATATTAATGTTTATTGTATTCCTGGTTTGAAAACTTTTGAAAAACATTTTGAAAACAATTTTTGAAATTTTTTTTTTATGAAAAACATTTTGAAAAACTTTTTGAAAAATTTTATGTGTCCAAAACAAACTAAAAACAAATCAAATTTCATTAGTAACAGATGAACATCCTCCCCCAGACTTATTTCACACTGTCCTCAGTGTGATAAATTTTGGAAAGAATGGTAAAGAAAATAGAAAAGTTGAAATGTTTAAGTGAACTTATCGTGTTGGAGAGTGTTGCTCGTCTTTTGTATTTATTCTTCCTTATTGAAAATCTGAAATTAAATGAAACAGAAACAAAGCAATAAAATAGAAAATAAAGGTCAAAGGGAAATAGATAAAATACCAAGTGGGTTGCTTCCCACTAAGCGCTTGTTTCAAGTCATTAGCTTGACATTGTTGCTCGATTAGACTTAACCGGGGTCGTGACACTCCTTGATCTCATCATTGGCCGATGATGGATCAATCAAAAACATCACTTCTCTTTCGTCTTCTCTTTGTTCAGCTAGATATGGCTTTACACAGTGACAATTCACTGTAAATGAGTTTCCGGTTCTGTCCCACAGGACTATGGCTCCGTATGGCTTGACTTCCTTTATCGTGAAGGGTCCTGACCATCTTGAACGTAATTTTCCTGGAAAAAGCTTAAGACGAGAATTGAAAAGGAGTACCTTATCGTTAGGAGCAAAAGTTCTACGAATGATCTTCTTATCATGATATGCTTTAGTCTTCTCCTTGTAGATCTTCGAGTTTTCGTAAGCGTTGTGTCGGATTTCTTCTAACTCGTGAAGTTGAAGTAGTCTTCTCTCTCCAGCTGTTTTCAAGTTCATGTTCATCTCCTTGATAGCCCATTGCGCCTTATACTCGAGCTCTACTGGAAGGTGACATGCTTTTCCATAAACTAGGTTGAATGGTGTTGTTCCTAATGGTGTCTTGAATGCTGTTCGATATGCCCATAATGCGTCGTCAAGCTTGGTAGACCAATCCTTGCGATGAACTGCAGTAGTTTTCTACAAAATCGACTTGATTTCTCTGTTTGAGATTTCTACTTGACCGCTGGTTTGGGGATGGTATGGAGAAGCAACTTTATGTGTAACTCCATTCTTTCTAAGAAGATTCTCGAAAACTCTGTTAATGAAATGCGATCCTCCGTCGCTAATCACAATTCTAGGAACTCCAAAACGCGGGAATATAACAGATTTAAACAGCTTTATGACAACTTTCGCATCATTGGTGGGGCTAGCGACTGCTTCTACCCACTTAGAGACGTAGTCTACTGCTACTAAGATGTATTGGTTTCCAAAAGAAGTAGGAAAGGGTCCCATAAAATCTATTCCCCAGACATCGAAAATTTCGACTTCGAGAATAAAATTTTGAGGCATCTCATTCCTTTTGCTTATGTTGCCCATCCTTTGGCATTTATCGCACCGCGATATATAAGCTTGAGTATCTTTGAACAAAGTAGGCCACCAAAAACCTGCTTGTAAGATCCTTGAAGCGATTTTGTAGGTTGCGAAATGTCCTGCATAAGACGAGCTATGGCATCCGAATAAAATTCCTTCCATCTCTTCTTCAGCCACGCATCTTCGGAATAACCCATCAGCACATCTCTTATAGAGATAGGGTTCATCCCAAAAATAATGTCTTATGTCTTTCAGAAACTTTT